AGTAGCTCCTGGCATCGCTACTAGTAACAAGGGCATCGCTACTAGTATCAAGGATGCTTCTAGTAGCTCCACCTGAAATCCCCTTTCACCTAGCAAGGTTTGCGGGTCGAGGGATGCCATCTATCAATACAAACAGACCAAAAACCAATCCTGTTTACGTGACACTGATTGTTACTGATTTCCAAGCCTTACAGCCTTTCAGAGTCACTGTTCGTTGTCTGGCATCTGAGCACAGATCCCGGCAACCCTCCAACACACCTCACCGTCTCCTGCAACCCTGATCCAAACCACATGGACACTCTAGCAAAGAGCAAAGGAAAAATGGTCAAACAGCTCTTTAAAGGTTTAAAGGAGAAGGAACAAGATCTAAAGAAACAAACAACACATAGGCTTTGAAGCATGAAGAAAAGGAAAGAAAAGAAACGATCTCTTCGCAACAAACACCACAAAAAAGCCACCGCAAAACCCACCCTCCGCACCTCCACCAACACCACAGACACATCCGGACGCAACGTGGCCACCAAAAGGCCCAAGTGCCCGGTGCCAGCGCCAAACTCCACCACCTCAGTGTCGCTTTTCCGAGAAAAGCTGTTTTCTTCTAACACGATTTATCATGCCGAAGGAGTCTTGGTTTCAATTTCCAACCAATACCCACTTTCTTTGGAGCTTCTGGGAGCCTCGTTTTGCACCCTGGCGTGAACCAACCATTAGAGCACGAGGACACCATTTTCATTGGCTTCACCGCGAGTTTCCCGCGCCTCATCTGTGCGGCAGTGAGACAAATCAGGCGAAAACATGATCGGAGCAGTCTTGGTCTGTGGCCAAACTCCGCTGATTCTCTCTGGTGGTCTTGATCTCCAGCTGTATCTGGATATTTCTTCAGAATCGCTGCCACCAAAGGTTGTGACCTACCTTCCCCCCCTGTGGGTCCTTGATACAACACTCTGGCGAAAGAACATGGATGAGTCCTGATTGATACATTGAAAGACTGGACATCCTGTAGATCTAGGCGGAAAGCAAAAAACAAACGAAAGAACCAACTTGCCAGCTCCTTCTAATCATCCTCGCCATCGGCCATGTCGTCCAAGGTCTTCTCCTCCTTTTCGGACTCCTTGAGCGACTGCAACCTACTAGCGATGGCCTCCGACCTAGTAGAACCTAGTAGCAAACTATATTAGATCTTTCTTCCTTTTCTTTTCTTGTCTTCTCTTCCTTTTTGGACTCCTTGAGCGACTGCACCACAGACTTGGCTGAGATGGCTCTCAAATAGCCAATTAGCCGCTCGTCGTCGCCGGTGGCCTTTTCCTCTTCCTTGTCTTCCTTCCCATCACCTTCGCCTTGGTCGTCCAAGAGGACAACATGCAAAAGAAATAGAGAGGACAACCTGGTCATCTTGATTGATATGAAGCGTGATATATCCATGTATATTTAATCTGAAACGCAGCATGGAAAAATCAATGTTTGGGTTGGAAAGCTTACAGTAGATTGCTTTTATAGAAGGTATGCGACGGAGCCACCTTTCTTGAACTCCACTTTGAGCCGCTTCCCAAGAATCTTGTAGCCTTGCATCCTTAGGTTTGCTCAAACACCCAACACAGTTGAGCAAATTGCAAAGCAAAAACTATGCAATTTCTATGTATCTCCATGTCTACTGAGGAAGGGCGCTTCTTCATCTCAGGCAGGAGAAGTATGTGACGTATTTGACTGTGTCTTCTTGCAGAGCTACCTTGCATCGCTACTAGTAACAAGTGCCTTATTAGTAAAAACAAGAAGCTAGTAGAAACAAGTGCCTTACTACTAGGAGCAAGAGCGCTAGTAGTAAC